GGCACGTACCTCGGTGACAGGCTCGATCCCCGGGCCGGTCGGGGTGCTTTCGGGAGGCAACCAATCGATGTGTATCCTTCATGTCGATGTTTCTGTCTCTCCCCCTCCCTTCCATTCTCTCTAAAAACCAATGGAAAAATATCCACAGGTGAGGATTAACCAAAAAGAAAAAGAAAAAAAGAAAAGCAAAACTTAAAAAGTTTGCTCTGTTTTCCTGTCGCCTGGCCTGACGGTGCCGCGTCCGTGTGGCCACGTAAGCAGCATGAGGGGCACCCTGCGCCCGTGCTGAGTGGGGCGAGCTCTGTAGACAGCTCCACCAGCAGCCATGCAGCGCGGGCCTGAGACCACCTCCTCTGGCTGCCGCAGCCCCGCCTGCGTCTGCGGTGGTCAGTGCCGGCTCTGACTCTCTAGCTGTCCTCCTACACTTCTCAGAGGAGCTGGCCGTCCCAGCTCCCTCACTGCACGGCGGCCCGGAGACTGGGCCTCGCATCTGGAAGCAGCAGTCACCCTCCTTTCCTCTTCCACACCCGCACCGCGGGGCAGGCCACCCTGGGGCCTCCGTGGCCCTGACCGTGTGCTTCCCACAGAGAAGCCAGGGCCGCGAGGAGGGCCAGGAGGAAGACCCTGACCGCTACGTCTGCAGCGGGGTCCCCGGGCGGCTGCCGGGCCTGGAGGAGGAGCTGACCCTCAAGTACGGGGCGAAGCACGTGATCATGCTCTTCGTGCCCGTCACGCTGTGCATGGTCGTGGTGGTGGCCACCATCAAGTCCGTGCGCTTCTACACGGAGAAGAACGGGCAGCTGTGAGTGGGGCCCCGGCAGGTGGGGGCGGGGCTGGGTCGGGGTGGTGGCCTCCGTGCCAGCAGCAGAAAGGAGCAGGGACCAAGAGTCCGCACCCTGGTCTGGGGCCGGTCCTCAGGCTGAGGTCGGGGCGGGAGATGGGTTGGAAGGCAGGGCAGCAGCGGGGATGGCCGACAGCACGCCCCCAGGGCAGGCGTCCAAGGCTCCTTTGGGGGGGGGGCACACGGACCAGGCAGGGACGGGCACCGAGCCCCGGCCTCCTCCCTCAGCATCTACACGCCCTTCACCGAGGACACGCCCTCGGTGGGCCAGCGCCTGCTCAACTCCGTGCTCAACACCCTCATCATGCTCAGCGTCATCGTGGTCATGACCATCTTCCTGGTCGTGCTGTACAAGTACCGCTGCTACAAGGTGAGCGCCCGCCCACCCGTCCCGCCCACCGGGTCCTCCCGCTGCCACTCCCTTGCGGTGCGTCTTATGCTGGAACCGTTGGCCTTAAAAAACCAGAGTTCCTTTTTCTCTGCAAACCAGACTCTGGTTTTTGGTGCTCTTACCTCCCCTCTCCTGCCCCTACCATGGGTTAGACCAGGGGTGGGCAAACTTTTTGACTCAGGGCCACAATGGGTTCTTAAACTGGACTGGAGGGCCGGAACAAAAGCATGGAAGGAGTGTTTGTGTGAACTAATATAAATTCAAAGTAAACCTCTTTACATAAAAGGGTCCGGTCTTTTTTTTTTTTTTTA